GGTATGAGTGTTGCTGGACCATCCCGATCCGGAGAGACGCCGCAAAACGTGTCCGGCGAAGGTCAAGGTGAGAGCGCTAAAACCACGGCACCGCATCTAAAAGGAATGAAGACCTTAGATTGCTACTATGTTTCCAAAACGGACGACGACCTGGATGCTATCCTAGCTAGAATGTGCGCGAGAGATGGGATACCTTTTACAGTTTTCTGTACCTCACCGGACCTACGCGGACTTTTGGCTGCTAAAGGATATAAAAACCTTCCAACCCATCACAACACGATCCGCCGGCGTGTCCTCAAACACTGTGCTCGCCTGAAGTGTGACGTGAAGGCGAAGCTGGCCGAAGAATTGTCAAATGGCAAACGGTTCTCACTTACGATCGACGAGTATACGTCCCTGAAAAACCGTCGCTATATGAGCGTGACTGTCCACTGCGAAGGTAACATGTGGGGTCTCGGTGTCGCGCGTTGTCACGGATCGATGCCAGCAGAGAAATGTCTGGATCTTCTGCAGGGCAAGCTGGCAGAATTTGGCCTTGAACTCAGTAAGCACGTCACCTGCGTCACAACCGACGGAGCTTCGGTGATGGTGAAATTCGGGAAGTCACTGCCATGTGAGCACCAACTCTGCTTCGCACACGGTGTTCACCTCGCCGTTGTCGACGCTCTGTACTCGGGTGACGCCGGGCAGACCTCTGAACAAGCAGATGACGACCGTGGTGGTGGTGGACCTAACCAGGTGAGCTTAGTATACAATTATGCATACATCTGATATAGGCACCTAGCGTGAAAATAGAATAACAGTGACGAAATGGTAGAAAATTGTGCACCAAAGTTCGTATCATTTACTGTGCGATTTCACTTCATAAGAGTCAAAGAACAAACAACATTTCACCCAGAGAACAAGGCTTAAGAGCATCGAGCTCAGTTTCATCCGCATCGCGCAATTACTCTCCTTAAAGCATAAAGAGTCGTAAACAGTGGCGTAGACAGGGGGGGCCATGGGGGCCATGGCCCCCCCCCCTTTCCGCCCAGCCGCCCAGATGGCGCCCCACTTAGCGCCGACTAGGCTGATGCCGTTTTACAGAGGGAGCATGAATTAAAAAGCGATGTGCAGGCAGGGATCGAACTCAATATCTCTTTAGGGGTGCCTGGACACCCCAATGTTCTCCAGGGCACCCCCAAATAGGACCTGAGCCCCCCAATGTTTAAGGGCGCACCTCCGGAAACCAGAATAGGTATTCCGAACCCCCAGGGTCGATGGCGCCCCTGAAAGCCGCTGGCACCCACCAGAACGGAACAGTCGCCCCATTTAAGGTTAATTGCACCCCTCTGAAGTTCATAGCTGCCCCATTCGGCCCCATCCAAGGTCGATGGCGCCCCCTGAAACCACTGGCGCCCCTCTAAAGCACCCGCATTCTTCTCAAGATCACAGTCGCTCTATCCGAGATCAATAGCGCCCTCAAGAGAGTCACTAGCGCCCCCCCCCCTCGAGACTGAAGTCGTCCCGCTTGAGACTAAAGTCGCCCCATTCAAGCCCAATGACGCCCCTCCAGAGCGCCCGGTGCGCTTCTGAAGATCACAGTCGTCCTCATCCGAGGTCGCTGGCGCCCCTCAAAAGTCACCGGCGCCCATCTAAACGGAGATCACAGCTGCCCCATCTTAACCCTAGAACGCCTCGGGGGGGTTGTATCAACCCCCCTGAGGTTTTTTCGAAGTGCACGCTAAACGGCTTGTCGTAGCGGGCTGAAATTTTCAATACCCTCTGGGGCAACCTTTGCGCATCTTTTGCCGAAAAAAATTGATCGGGTCATGTCAGGTCACGGAGTTATGACGTCATAAGAGGTACAGCCTCCGGCCGGATTTTCATAAACTGAGTGCCAACGCCCTAGGTTTCCTGCCGGTGGTACGGACATCGGTTGATGGATCGTGATGAAACTTCCCATGCATGTTGGGGCAAGTATTGGCTATCATATGGTATAAGAAATTTGACCGGGTCAGGTCAGGTCACGGAGCTATGACGTCACAAGAGGAACAGCGTCCGGTACTATTTTTGAAAAGCGCCCGAACCACTATTTTGCTAATTCTTGTCACCTCAATGGGAATATGCAGCAATATTAGCTTCTATAGGGAGCAAATGGACCTCCCAAATCCAAAAATACAATCAGATTTCAAAAATTTAAATTTTGATTTTTCGAATTTCTGCCGCCGACTGTGACCTTGCCGACTTCCGGCGCTCCCAACGCGCCATTTTTAGAGCTAGGGAAACGAAATACATACCAAACGATAGAGAATTGATCAAGGAACACGAAAGTGAAGGTTTCAAGTCGATATCTCCCACCGTTTTGCCGCAATCGCCGCCGAAAGTTGAAAAAAGTCTATTTTTCCGAAAATTTGACCTTTGACCGGTCAAAAGTAGGTCAAATGTTGACCTAGGACCAAAAAATATACCACCAATCGCGAGATCTCGTTGAGAGCAATCCGTAAGTTTTTTCCGCTAAGCTCTACGACCTTCCGTTTCGAAACGCCAGGGGGGGGGGGTCGTAACAACCCCCCCCCTGGTCGTTCGTGTTATGAGAAATGGCCTGGTCGTGCGAGGGTTAAGATCGATGGCAACCCTTTGAAACCAATGGCGCCCTTCTAGAGTTTATTCGCCCCATCCGAGACAACGCCCCTTGAGACTACAGTCCCCCCACCCAATTTCAAGGCGCCCCTCTAGACTGTCCGGCGTCCTGCTGAAGGCAACAGCGGCCCCATCCATGCCCAATGGCGCCCCTCAACGCCCCTCTAAAGATCACAGTCGCCCCATCAATCCAAGGTCGCTGGCGCCCCTCAACAGCCACTGGCGCCCACCTGAACCGGGACTTCAGTCGCCCCATCCTAAATCAATGGCGCCCCTCTGAAACCACTGGTGCCCCTCTGAAAATAACAGTCGAATCATCCGAGATCAATGGCGCCCCTTCAGAGCGTCCGACGCCCTACTGAAGGCAGCAGTGACCCCATCTAAGCATTACACCCCTCTAGATCACCCGGTGCCCTTCTGAAGATCACATTCGCCCTATCCGAGTTCGTTGGCGCCCTCCAGTAGTCACTGACGCCCATCTGAATGGAGACTTCAGAGTCGCCCCGCCCCATTCAAGATCGATAGCGCCCCCCCCCCCCGCCGAAACCACTGACGCTAGGTAGGTAATTATTTTACAATGGGGCTGTCTCATCGACACCAAGGACCCTTTTCAAGATGCAGCAGCCAGGCGGCGCCGAGCTGGGCTAGGATGTGCCAAGCGTTTCTTATAAGGCAGCCTCGATAGTGCCACCCCTCGTTGCGATACCGCCCCTCAATGCGACGCCGCCCATTCACCGTACAATGCCACCCCTCAATGCAAGTGCTGCCCCCAGCGCATTGCCCCCCATTATTGTGATGCCGCCCCCGCCTAGCAGGGCGGTGCCGCCCCAGCGTACGCCACACCGACGGAACGATCACTTTTAAAACTATCAGAGATTGATAAGACTAAGAATATGTATAAAATGTTTATCTCGGACTTTTGATATCCATGACCTAAGGTCAGGTCAATTTTGCGACTTCTCCATTAGGTATAAGTCAATTGGAGAAAATTGAAATGCGCCTCTTTTGGACGAATGTGGTTCAAAACCCTCTCAAACATCGGTACATAGGTAAACATAACACACTGAATCGATAAAATGCACCTGTGACCCTTCTGTGTGCCCCTGAGGTCATCTCAGGTCATGAACGGTCACCAGCATTTCTTTGGCTATACCTTTTGATAGAGACTTGCTAAAGCGGTGAAAACACGTCAGATGTGTTCAGCTCGACGATACGGATCGAGTGATATGCAGCATGACCCTGTCCATCAAGGTCATGATCTTGACCTGAGGTCAAATTTTCAAAATGACGTTTCAAGGTCAACGTATAGTTCATTCGACGCGTTTCGACGAGAGGAATACGATGCTGGCAAAATAAATGTCGTCACTGTCTTGAGTCAAAAGCTATTGCAGAAAACGATTTTAATAAAAACTGTTATTTTTGGAGTTGTTTCCCTCTGGAGGCGTGGCAGTCAGTCACTGGAGGCAGTCATGCATGTCCAGAAGTAGGGGCTGCACGCACTAGACATCGAATTGTAAAGGGGATGTGTGGAGAAAAAATCCAGAACGTATGTCAGCGTTCGGTCGCCTCTGACTGCAGTCGCTGCTGGTATGACAATGAGTTGGGATCTCATGGTGGATCTCATGGTCTTAATTGTTCAAGTCTTTCCTTGATTCCAATTTAGGCAATAAGTCGCAGCGTGTATCCTACATACGTGCGCTCTGATATTCTAAACACGGCAACCCCGGTCGACCACAGGCTGCAGCCCACAGGTCACTTCGGATCAGTGAGTGAGCCCGTATATTTTTCTTTTTTTTTTTGCAAAGAATAAAGATTCTGCCTATCGATCAACGTATAGTTATTTTACCGTTTCGAATTCGCATGGATGCGTATTTTGAGAATAAAATGTCCGTAGCCTGAGCTCGTTTCCTATATCATGCTAAAAATTCATCTAGATCAAGGTTTTTTGATAAAAAAAAACACCAGGCTGCAAATTGCATTAATTGGACTTTATGAAAATCAGCGAAAGCTGGTTCTTATGTATTTTGCAACACCTATAGTAAATCATGCATGAACATGACGTTACATTTTAGCCTGACACCCCTGTCACTAGCTGACAATGGCGCCCCTCTCAAGGGAAAAAGTCGCCCCCTCGAGCACCATGGCCCCCCCTTTCGCTGATCTCTGGCTACGCCACTGGTCGTAAATCTTCATCTACAAATAATCCGAGGAGCCAACACAGCAGGATGACCCCTTAATATATGTACTATTGAGCGCAGAATCCGCGCTCATACCGGGACCGAGGCTGGGCCACGGCGGGGCAGGCCTGGTGTGTCAGAGAGTGTACCGATTAGTGTGATGCGACACAGTATCCTTTGAGGGTCACGGAATGACATGACCTGGCTGTTTCTGTTCCGAGTGGGGCGGAAAGCCGGGGAAGGAGAGCCGCAGTAGGCGGCCGCAGCCCGCGTGGAGTGTGTGCGGCTAGACGTCAACGTGAGCGTGATGGCACACCTCAGTGATCTTGACAAGGGCAGGCTCATCTTGCTTTTCGATCAAGGTCACTCTGTCAAGCAGGCGGCAGAGATTCTCGGTGTAGCTCTAACTACTGCCAGACGGTGGAAACACCGTTATGAGCAGGAAGGGGAAAGGGGTTTGAAAGCGCGCTATGATAAGTGTGGAAGAAAACGGAAGACGACGGAGGAGGAAGACAGGCACATGGTGGAGGTTCGTACTTTTCTTTTATTAGGTATTTGTTGCTGTTGTCTCTGCATTTCTAGGTCAAGACGAGAGTGTAGTATCAGATGATTAATCGGGCCAGCATAATGATAATATCGGGCCATAATGACTAATCGGGACAGCATATAATGATAATATGTCGATTAAAGAGCATGTCTAATTGATTAAACGTGTCAAACTATTTACTGAGGTTAGTGCTTGTACGAGGAACATGTTTATACCTAAATAGTAGAAAACTAGGGTTACCCGCGTGCTCCGCAACGCTAAGGGGGGATTTTTTGACCCGTGGGTTGGTCTGTGTCGATTTGGTTGGTAAATATCCATTTCGTTCGATTGCTTTTTGACGGCCAAGCATTTTGTAAGAAAACAAAAAGATACATCGCATCGAGGTGCCCGTGTCGTATTATCATGCGTTCTACTTTAGAATGATTCGAAAACTGGCGTGAAGTCTTTTGAGGGCCATCGATGAATTTCGCTAAAAATGACAATGTAATGGTTTGGAACATTTACATTTTTAAGGATACTGTTGCTAATTATGCAAAAATGAAGAGTGAATATTGGACAGAATTGAATGCTCTATCCAATGGTACCATATTCAATTGCCAAAGGTATCAGGTTATGCAGCAAACCCCGTGTGATTAATAAAGTGGCACAAAATTGACAAACACCATTTTCTCCTGTGATTTGCACCACCTTGATTTGGATCAATCAGCTTTTCATAATTTTTATATGAGAGGCGGTACCTTTCTCTTGCAAATAGGCGTTGATTCAACTCGCTCCATTTAACGGTCACCTAAAAATAAAATTAATTCCAAAATCCCTCAAAAACCGCAATTTTTCAAATAAAAGTGCCCTCTCCGGTGCACGTGGCGCGTGCTATCCTCTGCATTGCACACCATTCAATAGCCCGTTCAATTCTGTACACGATGCTGTTTTCCCCGTGCCGGTCGGATCCCTGGTCACCAAGATATTGCACGGGAACTGGACCCGTGTCGGCCAAAATTAGCCATTTTCGCCCGATTTCGCACGCCGATTTATACATGTAAAGTCTATGACGCGAATTTGCACTTTTTGAGCACGCACCACGCGCTCCCTATCGACCCGATCGAGCTGAGACCCCTCAAAGGCACGTCGCGCATCCTTGATCTATGAGTTGTGCAAATTTCACCGGGCTAGGTGCAACGGTCTGGCCTGCAGTCCACGCAAAGCACCACCAAGTCGGGACCTCGGTCACGGACAGACGCACCCTCCTCAAATAGTAATATAGACAAGCGGCTGCGCCACTTGCTTTGCTGCGTGGTAGGAAAAATTGCGGCACCAGCCAATTTGCTTTCGAATGGTGTTCGATTCATGTCGATGTGTCGTCTAGAAGCATAGATATGGACGGAAATGTGAAAAGAATTTTAAAAAAGAACTGTCCTGAGGGCGTTGTTGGATGAAATTTGGGTGATACGGGGTCAAGACGGGTCAAAGGGGTCAGCCCCGATCACTTTGGGTCAGGCCAGGTCACAAAGGTCACCTCTCGTCCGATGGGATCAGCCCGGGCCACTGTTTAACTTTTGCCTCCACCACTACCCCTTCCCCTATCACTACCCCTACCACTGCCCCCAACACTACCCGTACCCCTACCCATACCCCTACCACTGCATCTACCACTACCACTACCCCTACCCCTACCATTACTACTACCCATACTCCTACCCCTACCACTACCCCTACCACTACCCCTACTACTACCCTTACTACTACCCCTACTACTACCCCTACTACTACCCCTACCACTACTACTACCCCTACCCCTACCCCTACCCCTACCCCTACTACTACTCCTACCACTACCCCTACCCCTACTACTACTCCTACCACTACCCCTACCCCTACTACTACTCCTACCACTACCCCTACCCCTACCACTACCCCTACCCCTACCCCTACCCCTACCCCTACCTCCTACCCCTAACACTACCCCTACCACTACCACTACCTACCACTGGGCCATGTCAGGTCACATACTAATTGGATCCAATAAATGTTTTTAAAAAACAGAATTTAAAAGATCTTCTAGCCCCGCTCTTGTTCGTGCCATTCCATTACCTTTCATATCGATTTTGTCGGAAATGGCGCTTTGTGACAAATGTGGCGTGTTACGGCAAACGTAGTGCATTTTCACCCGGTGATTGAGCATGCATCTTTGCACCAAATTGCACCCATATCGGACCATATTTGTCAAAACTGTGCGATTTGCGGCAAAAATGACGCCGTGAGATGATTGTTGCGCATTCCGGCAAACGCGGCGCACATGAACCTGTTGGTTGAGCATGCATCTTTGCACCAAGTTGCACCCATATCGGACCATATTTGACAAAACTGTGCGATTTGCGGCAAAAATGACGCCCTGAGATAATTGTGGCGCATTGCGGCAAACTCGGTGCATTTTTATACTTGCATAATAAACTGTTCCCATTGAATGAAAATCAACACATTCTCTCGCCACTTCTTATTCAAATTAAAAACTTGCCCATCCGCCAATGCGAGGCACCCGCCACCGATCGGCATGCATTTAGTTCACAAAGTTTGTCGACCCCGGCTCTCAATGAAGATCTACGAACCGATCAAAATTTCATTGGCGTTCTTCCAGCGCGCCCCACGCGCGAACCGTGCACCCCAGCGAGTCGGAACCTAGAAAAGGCGCTGACCCGTTCTGTCACCTATAAGGTGTGCAAAGTTCAGCCCCCTACGTCGTACCGTCTGCCCTGTAGCCGTAACAAATTGAACCCACTACACGATGTGCGGACACACAAACTCACAGACAGACAGACAGACGGATTCTGTTTGAATAGTAAGTTAGAAAAGCGGCTGCGCCACTTGCTTTGCTGCGTGGTAGGAAAAATTGCGGCACCAGCCAATTTGCTTTCGAATGGTGTTCGATTCAAGTCGATGTGTCGTCTAGAAGCATAGATATGGACGGAACTGTGAAGAGAATTTAAAAAAGAACTGTTCTGAGGGCTTTGTTGGATGAAATTTGGGTGATACTGGGTCAAGACGGGTCAAGGGGGTTAGCCCCGGTCACCTTGGGTCAGGCTAGGTCACATAGGTCACCTCTCGTCCGATGGGATCAGCCCGGGCCACTGTTCTACTTTTGCCTCCACCACTACCCCTACCCCTACCCCTATACCACTACCCCTACCACTACCCCTACCTCTACCACTACCCCTACCACTACCCCTACCACTACATCTACCCCTACATCTACCCCTACCCCTACCACTACTACTACCCATACTCCTACCCCTACCACTACCCCTACCACTACCCCTACCACTACCCCTACTACTACCCCTACCACTACCCCTACTACTACCCCTACCACTACCCCTACTACTACCCCTACTACTACCCCTACCACTACTACTACCCCTACTACTACCCTCCTACCACTACCCCTACCCCTACCACTACCCCTACCCCTACCCCTACCCCTACCCCTACCAACACCGCCGGGTCATGTCAGGTCACATAATAATTGGATCCAATCAGTACTAAAATATCAGACTTAAAGTGTTCCCAGCCCTGCCCCTATTCGTGCCATTCCATTACGCTTAATCGTATTTGTCGGAAATGGCGCTTTGTGGCATATGTGGCGCATTGCGACAAACGCGGCGCATTTTCACCCGGCGATTTACCATGCATCTTGGCACCTAATTGCACCCATATCGGACCATATTTGACAAAACTGTGCGATTTGCGGCAAAAATATCGCCCTGTGACCAATGTGACGCATTACGGCAAACGCGATTCATTTGTACAATCTTATTACAAACGGTTCCCATTTAGCGACAATCAACACATTTTTAGCCACCATTTATTAAAATCAATAACTTGCCTATCCGCCAATGCGAGGCACCCGCCGCCGATCGGCATGCATTTAGCTCACAAAGTTTGTCGACCCCGGCTCTCAATGAAGATATACGAACCGATCAAAATTTCATTGGCGTTCTTCCAGCGCGCCCCACGCGCGAACCGTGCACCCCAGCGAGTCGGAACCTAGAAAAGGCGCTGACCCGTTCTGTCACCTATAAGGTGTGCAACTTTCAGCCCCCTACGTCGTACCGTCTGCCCTGTAGCCGTAACAAATTGAACCCACTACACGATGTGCGGACACACAGACAGACTCACAGACGGATTCTGTTTGAATAGTAAGTTAGACAAGCGGCTGCGCCACTTGCTTTGCTGCGTGGTAGAAAAAATTGCGGCACCAGCCAATTTGCTTTCGAATGGTGTTTGATTCAGGCGCGGATACAAGGGGGGGGGGCCATGGGGGCCATGGCCCCCCCCTTGGCCGATTTTTTTCAAAAGTAAAATAAAAAGTTAAAAAGTTAAAAAGCTCAAAAGGGGGCCTCCTGAAAATAAAGTGGCCGAAATCCGATGAGTTTTTTTTTTTAACCTACCCACTTAGTTATTTCTTAGAAGACTAGCTGAGAAGACTTCTTTGTTAGAAGATTGGTAAAGCTTTTCATAACTTGGAGGTCTCTTATACTCACAGAGATGACCACTTTTACAGGGCCTCCTAACCTGCACAGAGGGCCTCCAAGCCTGCACAGATGTTGAGATGTTGCCTGAACAGCTAGATAAGCTCAATAGACGCAGTTTTTTTTTTGGGGGGGGGGGGGGCCCAACAAGTGGGAAGATGGGGCCTCCAACAGGTGGGATTATGGGGGGGGGCCTCCTGGTTTCTAATGGCCCCTCCCTTGGAGATTTTCTGGATCCGCCCCTGGTTTGATTCATGTCGATGTGTCGTCTAGAAGCATAGATATGGACGGAAATGTGAAGAGAATTTAAAAAGAACTGTTGGCAACACCCTGAACTGAGGGCGTTGTTGGATGAAATTTGGGTGATATGGGGTCAAGACGGGTCAAAGGGGTCAGCCCCGGTCACTTTGGGTCAGGCCAGGTCACATAGGTCACCTCTCGTCCGCTGGGATCAGCCCGGGCCACTGTTCTGCTTTTGCCTCCACCACTACCCCTACCCCTACCACTACCCCTACCACTACCCCTACCACTACCCCTACCACTACCCCTACCACTACCCCTACCACTACCCCCACCCCTACCCCTACCACTACATCTACCCCTACCCCTACCCCTACTACTACCCCTACCACTACGCCTACTTCTACCCCTACTACTACCCCTACCACTACTACTACCACTACCCCTACCACTACCACTACCCCTACCACTACCACTACCACTACCCCTACCACTACCCCTACCCCTACCACTACCCGTACAACTACCCCTACCAACACCGCCGGGTCATGTCAGGTCACAGAATAATTGGATCCAATCAGTACTAAAATATCAGACTTAAAGTGTTCCCAGCCCTGCCCCTATTCGTGCCATTCCATTACGCTTAATCGTATTTGTCGGAAATGGCGCTTTGTGGCATATGTGGCGCATTGCGACAAACGCGGCGCATTTTCACCCGGCGATTGAGCATGCATCTTGGCACCAAATTGCACCCATATCGGACTATATTTGACAAAACTGTGCGATTTGCGACGAAGATGGAGCCTTGGGACAAATGTGACGCATTGCGGCAAACGCGGTGCATTTGTAAATACCTATCAAAAACTGCACCCATTTAGCAACAATCAACACATTCTCTCGCCACTTTTTATTCAAATTAAAACTTGCCCATCCGCCAATGCGAGGCACCCGCCGCCGATCGGCATGCATTTAGTCCACAAAGTTTGTCGACCCCGGCTCTCAATGAAGATCTACGAACCGATCAAAATTTCATTGGCGTTCTTCCAGCGCGCGCCACGTGCCAACCGTGCACCCCAGCGAGTCGGAACCTAGAAAAGGCGCTGACCCGCTCTGTCACCTAGAAGGTGTGCAAATTTCAACCCCCTACGTCGTACCGTCTGCCCTGAAGCCGTAACAAATTGAACCCACTACACGGCGTGGCGGACACACACACACACTCACAGACAGACGGATTCTGTTAGAATAGTAAGTTAGACAAGCGGCTGCGCCACTTGCTTTGCTGCGTGGTAGGAAAAATTGCGGCACCAGCCAATTTGCTTTCGAATGGTGTTTGATTCATGTCGATGTGTCGTCTAGAAGCATAGATATGGACGGAAATGTGAAGAGAATTTAAAAAAGAACTGTTCTGAGGGCGTTGTTGGATGAAATTTGGGTGATACGGGGTCAAGACGGGTCAAAGGGGTCAGCCCCGGTCACTTTGGGTCAGGCCAGGTCACAAAGGTCACCTCTCGTCCGCTGGGATCAGCCCGGGCCACTGTTCTGCTTTTGTCTCCACCACTACCCCTACTCCTACCACTACCCCTTCCACTACCCCTACCCCTACCCCTACCCCTACCCCTACCCCTACCACTACCCCTACCCCTACCCCTACCACTACTCCTACCCATACTCCTACCCCTACCACTACCCTACCACTACCCCTACTACTACCCCTACCACTACCTATACCACTACCCCTACCCCTACCCCTACCCCTACCCCTACCACTACTCCTACCCATACTCCTCCCCTACCACTACCCTACCACTACCCCTACTACTACCCCTGTCCCCTACTACTACCCCTGTCCCCTACTACTACCCCTACCACTACCCCTACCCCTACTACTACTCCTACCACTACCACTACCACTACCCCTACCACTACCACTACCACTACACCTACAGCTCTACCACTACCTCCTACCACTACCTCCTACCACTACCACTACCACTACCCGTACAACTACCACTACCTATCACTGGGTCATGTCAGGTCACGGAATAATTGGATCCAATCAGTACTAAAATATCAGACTTAAAGTGTTCCCAGCCCTGCTCCTATTCGTGCCATTCCATTACGCTTAATCGTATTTGTGGGAAATGGCGCTTTGTGGCGTATGTGGCGCATTGCGACAAACGCGGCGCATTTTCACCCGGCGATTGAGCATGCATCTTGACACCAAATTGCACCCATATCGGACCATATTTGACAAAACTGTGCGATTTGCGGCAAAAATGACGCCCTGTGACCAATGTTACGCATTGCGGCAAACACGATGCATTTATAAACTCGCATCACAAACTGCTTCCATTGAACGAAAATCAACACATTTTTTCGCCACTTTTTATTCAAATTAAAACTTACCCATCCGCCAATGCGAGGCACCCGCCACCGATCGGCATGCATTTAGCTCACAAAGTTTGTCGACCCCGGCTCTCAATGAAGATCTACGAACCGATCAAAATTTCATTGGCGTTCTTCCAGCGCGCCCCACGCGCGAACCGTGCACCCCAGCGAGTCGGAACCTAGAAAAGGCGCTGACCCGCTTTGTCACCTAGAAGGTGTGCAAATTTCAACCCCCTACGATATACCGTCTGCCCTGTAGCCGTAACAAATTGAACCCACTACACGATGTGCGGACACACAGACAGACTCACAGACGGATTTTGTTCGAATAGTAAGTTAGACTAGGGTGACCCGCGTGCTCCGCAACGCGAAAAGGGATATTTTCGATCGGCGGGTGTTCGGTTGTTCTTGTGTCGGTTGGGTTATCTATCCATTTCGGTCGATTGCTTTTTGACGGCTAAACGTTTTGGTTTGTGGAAAAAATATCCACCGCATCGAGGTGCCCGTGTCTGATAAGCATGCTTTCCACTTCAGAATCTGTCAAATGTGCTTTATAATTGAGGTGCGTAGTTTTAAGACAAATGAAAGGCGTAGATAATTTTCGCTAAAAATCGTTTTGCAGAGGTTTAAAACATTTATATTTTTAAGAATACTGTTGCTTGTCATGCAAACGTGATGATTGGATCTTGGAGAGAATTGAATGCTCTTTCTAATGATAGCATTTTCAATTATCAAGCGTATCAGGTTAAGCAGCAAATCCCGTGTATCTTTTTAGTGGCACATTGTGGACAAATACCATTTTAATTCAGCGATTTTTCCACATTGTTTTTGATCAATTAGCTGTCCACAATTTTTCCATGAGAGGCGGTACATTTCTCTTGGCAATTGACGTTGTTTCAACTCTCTCAGTCTGATGGTCACGGGAAAATAAAATAAAATCCAAAATCCGTTTGAAATGGCACTTTTTGAAATGAAATTGCCCTCACACTTGCACGTGGCGCGTGCCACCCCTGCACCGCACACTATTCGATTGCCCGTTCGATTCTCTACACGATGCTGTTTTCCCCGTGCCGATCGGGCGCACGGCTACCGAGATATTGCACGGGGAACGGACCCGTGTCGGGCAAATTTAGCCATTTTCGCCCGTTTTTGCCAGCCGATTTATACATGTAAAGTCTATGACGCGAATTTGCACTTTTTGGGCACGCGCCACGCGCTCGCTATCGATCCGATCGAGCCGAGACCGCTCAAAGGCACGTTGTCCATCCTTGTTCTATAACTTGCGCAAATTTCAGCGCGGTAGGTGCAACGGTGTGACCTGTAACCCGCGCTATGTAGCACCATGTCGCGACCTTCGTAATAGACAGAAACTACGCCCTCCTCAAATAGTAATATAGATGTAAAAACATGACCTTTTTTCCTCGATAATTACCAAAACTAATGCTGTACAAATATATACTTTACTTGACAGAATGTAATATTTATTTCGACCGCAGGCCTTTTTCAAACATTTTCAAATTAGAAAAGTGTCAAACTATTTACTTCAAGATAGGATTGATAATAATAGCGAGTAATTTTTTTATCTCGCTTAATGTCGCCAGAGCCACAGCTCAAACATTTTATGTTCATGTTGAATGCTTGTAAAGTTTGCGAGACAAAATCAGAGCACATAAAAAATCGAACCAACTGAACAATGGTTGGCGGTTTCCTGCCCTCTGGGTGTCTAAGAGACAAAACCTAAGATAAACGTTTTATGGTCTTTGTGTAACAGGTCAAATGCCAGTAAACGTCCGATTGCACAAGTCATATCCAGGTAGATATCGTTTTTGCCCAGCACGCCGTCTTCCCCGCACTCTTGCAAACGGTTCCATGTCAATTCCACCAGTGGCATTTCAAGCAGGTCAAACCAGTGACAACTACTCAACCAGTGACATTTCAATCAGTGACAACTCAACCAGTGACATCTGAACCAGTGACAACTGAACCCGTGACAACTCAACCATTGACAACTCAACCAGTGACAACTCAACCAGTGACAACTCAACCAGTGACAACTCAACCAGTGACAACTCAACCAGTGACAACTCAACCAGTGACAACCAGTGACAACCAGTGACAACTCAACCAGTGTGCTGAACGCATTGGCTCCATTGTCACAAACCACGTTGGTTAAGTTGTCACTGGTTGAGTTGACTGTATACCCTTGTGAACATGTGCATTTTTCATTGTTGTTAAATATGTCTTCACTACTCCGGCAGGCGTTTTTGCCCTCCGTGGAGGAAATGCGCCCCGACGAGGAGCGACCCTGGACTCTAATGCAAGACAACGCCCCTATCCACACAGCGAGGGCAGTCAAGCAGTGGTTCGAAGACCACGCAGACTCAGTAAGTGGCATCATAAACCTATCATGGCTGCTAACTCTAAAGGGTGCCCCACACTGGACCTCGCATGCGGGTTGCGAGTTTTTGGGTTTTCGGGTTTCTTCAAAATCAAATAATGCAATCTAGCTGAGCGATTCACACTACTATCTAACAAGCGAGTCTGCATGTTTTTAGCTTCCGAGCTACCTTGCATCGCATTCCAAAAGTTGATTTTGAGTCAACTTTCGATTTTCCTCGCTGCGAGGTCTGCAAGCTCTACGAGGTTTGCGGGTTTTTCGTTGGAGTCGAATTTTGGTTCGTTCATGCTGCTATTGCGACTATATGTAGTTTTCTGAAGGTGTACCGGCTTCACAGCATTCATGAAGTGACCATGAGGGTACGGTCTAATTACTCTATGAGTTAGTATTATGCCCGCAAACTCAAAACCTGCAAACTCAAAGCCCGCATGCGAGGTCCAGTGTGGGGCGGCTTTAAGTTGTGGTATGATTTAGCTAGGTGACCGGTGACCTGATGGCATTATTTAAAAAAAATCTTGAGATGCTGTTTATTTATTTATCTGTTTATTCATTTTCACCCCAACAGCAATGCATCCCAATTAGAGGAGGCGAGGCCTACGGCTATGTGCGGGAGGCCGCTTTGCCCCTGGTCGCCTCGTCCCCGCCTGTTATAAACTTATCGAGATAACTTAAACAATTATTTAAAAAGTTCTTAAGATGCCTTACAAAATTGCTCAGTAATGATCAAACACTTTCCAACAGGTGTTATTCGTTGCACCATACAGCTTCATAGTCATGACCGATGTGTCAACCTATATCACGTTACAGTGAGTAACAAACATGGTTTTGTTCGCAGGTTCGTGCCATCCCCTGGCCCTCAATAAGCCCAGACCTGAACCCTATCGAAAATGTGTGGTCTCTAGTGGTTCATGAGCTGGAGGAGGAGCTGCGCCAGCCGGCCCGGCAGCTCAACCAGGACGAGCTCTGGGCCGCCGTCTTGGCGAAATGAGAGGAGCTCCGCCGCCGCCCCGGCTACTTCCGGAGCCCATGGTGGCCTCGATGAGGCAGCGGCTGGAGCAGTGCTCCGAGGCAGCGGGCGGTCACACCTACTAAACCGTTCTGTTTGTTTGTCATCTAATGTTAAAGAACAGTGTTTTGTTTATAAATTTTACTTATGTTACCTACATGTGATTAGTGTGCAAGATGTATATTAGTACAAATGTGACTCAGTGACAAGAGGCTGATGCCTGATTTTTTTCTTTCGTGATGTGATATTCAGGGGACTTGAAACGTCTCAACTATTAGTGCGAGCTAGGAGTGCTATGATCAGCAGCACTTGTATATAGCATCGCTGGATTATGTGCAGTGACAGTGAGAATAGACTTGATCACTCAACCTTTTATCCGACATACCCCAGGACTTCACTTGAAGAAATATATAGCTGACACTCCTGGCATGTCTTGTTTTATTATTTGAAAAAAAACTGTTAAGCTTCGTTTTAGACGTAGGTGCTACTAGCATGCAGTCATTCCTCTATTGCAGTCATTTCCTCTAACAATGAATTAGTCAACTCTAATTCATTGACAGCGAGAGTTTAATCAGCACCCAGGGCTTCGACAAATTTTGAATGACTCCGACTACTAATAAAACTGTTCACTCCGACCGACTACGGTTCCGGCTTCGACATCTTTTGCATTGAGGATTCCTAAAACGGTTGTGCAAAAGATGAAAAGGAAGATTGGTGCACTATGTGATATTTATTTTAATTGTCGCCCGTTGAAAGGGCCGCACCCTCCTGAGGTTTTTCACGAATAGCGAAAAAAGGCGGCACGTAGTGGCGCCAGCTTTCCGGCTACCTTATGGACCATCCTTTGCGCAACTTTTGGCGAAAAAATGACCGGTTCAGGTCAGGTAACAGAGCTATGACGTCACAAAGGTAACAAGGTCAGGCCGATTTTGCACGAAATCGTAGTTTTTCGATGATATCGGTTACACTTTGGCATTGTTTGGGTCAAAAGTGACTGACATGGCACTGACATACCCTCCATTGACCTATGTAGGGTCAAGGTCAGGTCAGGTCTAGTTCAGGTCAGTGACCTCTGGTGACCTCTTGAAGTTTGACTTTCCGGCGGTAATTTTTGGCCCTGAATTCGAATCTGACGGCCAAATAAAGCTGGGGCACTTGGTTTAATCACGGTTTAATGAGCGTCTCAGGGTCAAGGAGAAGTCGCCGACAGGTTAGATCACATTTCCGACCCCAACTGTCAGACGGCATTTTCGACCACCCGGGGCGCGAACGCGACCCCGCCGGCTTCCGGGCGCTCTGCCCCGGAAGTTATCGCGTAAAATGTGACAAACTTTACACCAAAATGCACCAAATTCATCCAGAAATACGATGGTGAAAATTCCATGACCATATCTGCCATAGCGGCGACGCTACCGGCGCGCAAAGTTAAAAATGCCGATTTTCCCGAACTTTGATCTTTAACCTGCCAAACCTAGGTCAAATATTTACCTATGGTCAAAAGTAATATGCGCAATCGCGAGCTCTCGTCGAGAGCAATACGGTGTTTTTCCGCTAAGCTCTACGACGACGCGTTTCGAAACGGCAGAAGGGGTCGTAACCCCCCCCCCCCCCCCCACCCACCCACCCTCCACTAGAAAGGATGGCGAAATGCCGTCCACGGGCGAGGGTTAAATTTTCAAATTGCAAAGTTCTTAAGCGCCGATTCGGGCAACTTTCATAACGGTAATACCGAGGTGCACGCATTCGTGACGCATGCCCAATAAATGTGAATTGTTATGTCACATTGACGTTATGTTACCATATACATGTAGGTATATGTATATGGTATATATATATATGTAGGTATATGTGTATATGGTATATGTTACCATATACCATATATATGTAACATACGTTATGTTACCACATACATGTTATGTTACCATATACATGTAGTTTGGAGAAACAAAAAGTCTAGTTCAGACAGAATGGCGGTGGCCATAGGGAAGTTGTGGCATTTTCGCTTATAGTTCGCCTCAGACTTCCGGTGAGATTTGTGCTTCCGATACTTATTTGATAGGAACTAATTTTTTTTTAAGGTGAGATGAACATTTTTGAGAAACATGGCAAGGTCATGTTTCTTAGCTGTTTCTTAGCTTAGCTGGCAGAGTGCATTGAGTGTCGCCGTTCGCCGACCAAGTGGCCCGCGCGCGCGCCGCCCAGTCCCACGCCGGCCGGGCGGCCTTGGCCCTGGCTTCTGATTGGCTGAGCGGTCCGTGTGACCAGGCGAGACCGTTCGGCTGGGGTCGCGCCATCACGTGACCAGGGGATCCACGGGACCGGCTCCGAGGGCGCCCAGAGTCGCAGGTTGGCGGAAAAACCGGCTAACACCAGGTTTTACCCGTGCATTTTTGAGAAACATGGCAAACTTCCATTTAAAGTTAATAAAAAGTGTGCTCATGCCTCATGGTCTGGAAGAGCAAGGTTAAGAGCAAGGAGCAAGGCCAAAAACATCAGGAGTTTTTCTATAAAACGTTGCGGTGAGAGCAAAGAGGGCGAGAAATTTAAGGACGATCCGAAACTACGTAACGGCACACCTTAACCCTATTAGTGGCAGGGGGGGGGGGTTGTTTTTATCCACCCCTCAGGTTTTTCGAGAATATCTCCGAAACCGCTGAAGCTACGATGCTGAAATTTTCTGACTTTTCCTAAAACTAAATTGGGCACATTCCCTGAAAATTTCAAGTTCATACCTTTACCAGGGGCGGTGTTGTGTTAACGTGTATGGCCGCCGCGCGGGAAGCGTACGGCGCAGCCGCGTAGTTGTGACGTCACACGACGTCACGGACCGAGCGCGAGTGGCCGGCAGAATTCTAGAACGTGCGCGGCGCGAGGCGTATATAGCCTTGTATATATATGTAAGTGTATAGGGCTGTGTAATACAGTTGGCTCAGAGAACTCAGTGTGTGCAGGTCGGAGAGAGAACCAGCGGTCGGCCCGGAACGACCAGACAGAACATGGCGCGGTCGGTTCGGCTCTCTATCTGCATTATCTCTACCTGAGTTTTACACTGCATCAGCAAGACTTCGTAATGGAAGGAGACGCTCCCGGACAGCCAGACGCCGCGGAATCGAAGCCCACGGACATTCAGCTGCTGGTGACGGCGATCTCCCAGCAGCTGGAGGCATCTCAGCGCCGTGAGGATCGCGTTGTGGCTCTACTGGAGCAACTGTGCGTTACGAGCAGTCAGAGCGGGCGACATTATCCCACCGATGATCAAAATGACGGCACGGCAGCTCATTCAGCAGTTTCCGGCCGTTCATCGGATGCTGGGCCCAGTGACACGGACCATCCCCGCACGAGTGTCGTGGCCGGTGGCGGCGTGCCGCCGCCCTGCCCCGTCCGCGCAGCGACCGGTGCCGCGCCGGGGCGCGGTGACCTTGACCGCGACCTTGCCGCGCCGGCTGGCGCACGGGGGCCCGCGGGCGCCGAGGGGCCGGCCGGTGACCCCGAGAGGTCACGCGCCGGGCCGCGCCTGCCGGCCGCGGGGACGCCCGCCCCGCAGCTCAGCTCATCAGCGTCGCTGAGGGAATTTGAGGTCTGGCGCTCGAAGTTTGAAGGTTACAGTCTTCTGGTTGGACTGGACAGCATGCCACCACCTCAGCAGCGTGCAGCACTGTTTGCCCTGCTGGATGATGACTGGTCACGGATCGTCCGGTTCAGCATACCTCTTCACGAAGACGCTTCAATTCAAGATATCATCACCGCGATGCAGCATTTTCTACGCCGACAGCGAAATGTCATTCTGGACCGGCGAGACTTTGACTCCAGAGTTCAGCAGCCGGGAGAATCGTTCGACGATTTCTTCTGCTCACTGAAAGAAATCGCCGCGTTCTGCGATTTCTGCGCAGCCTGCGTCGACGAACGTCTGCGAGATCGACTCGTCGTGGGCGTCCGCAGCGAAGAAGCTCGACGGCGCCTGCTCGAAACGGCTGATCTCACACTACAGTCAGCCGCCGACATCTGCCGAGCTGCAGAGAATGCAGCCAACAGCAGATCAGCCATCGCTGGCACACCCTCCTGTCTCCAGAAGATGTCTGAGTATCAGAGACGGCGTCAGGGCGGCCGTGGTGGGCGAGCGAGCTCAGTGACCCGACCTCAGGGTGCAGCCGCTCCCACCAACCGCGCCGGCAGCCGAGATCGGTGCTCGCGCTGTGGTGCCGCCGCCCATCGAGAGGGCCAGCAGTGCCCCGCCTCTGGACGCACCTGTTTCAAGTGTGGAAGTAAGGACCACTTCTCATCGATGTGCCGCAGCCGAGGGCGGTCACAATCAAGGCGGCGAGTTTCATCTATCCGTCTCCGCAAGTCGAACTCCATGCCGGCCAGCAGGTCCCAGCGCCTGCCAGACATCCACGTTCGAGGCGTAGCAGCTCGTTCCTCGCCCAGAGTCCTGCTACAACTGCATCGACAAGATGGCAGCGTAGAAGACACGACGTGGACGCCAGACACTGGAGCCGAGACTTCAGCAATATCTGCCAGATTTGCCAGGAAGATGGGACTCCAGCCGTTGCAGCCTGCAGCTAGCAGACTCATTGGAGCAGACGGCAAGGAGATGGACTGCATGGGCACCTGTAGCGTCAAGCTTCAGCTCGGAGAAGTGACCCGTGCGGTCGAAGTTGCAGTTGTGAGACAGCTGAACGGCCCACTTCTGTCATGGCACGACTGCATCTGCCTGGGGATTCTGCCCAGCACGTTCCCGCAGCAGATTTGCGCGGTGGAACGCCAGCCAGCTACGAGGTCAACCGCGTCTGGGCGCTCCAAAGATCGAGAGGAAACAAAAGGAGATGAAGCCGCCCAGGAAGACGGCAACCCACCAGGGCCGTCGGCGGCTGAGTCCAGGCAGCCACCCGTCTGGATCCCACGCAGCCCGGCGGCCACAGTCCATGGCGTGCCGACTGCTGCTGAGCGGCGCGAACATCTGGAGGAAATGAAGAAGGCTTTCCCCAAAGTCTTCGACTCTTCTACTCTTCGAGAGATGTCGGGCGGTGAAATGAAGATCGAGCTCACAGAAGATTCCGTTCCGTTTGCCATCTCTGCGGCTCGGAACATCCCGTTCTGCTGGCGTGAGGAAGTCAAGAAGCAGCTCGATGACCTCCAAGAGAAGGGCATCATAGAGCCGGTCTACCATCCGACTGAATGGTGTCATCCACTGGTTCCAGTCCCCAAG